GGGGGGGGGACTGGCAACGCGACTTACCGACGTGAAGAGGAATAATATAACGGCCGTAAAGCCAAACACACCGCTGACCACCGTACTCCAGAAGATTCCTTTGGCTGCATTGAGAGTAGCGTTTTTGGTTTCTTCGGCGACGTGGCCAGACGCATCGAAACCAATGAGAACCCCTGCGGTCGCTAGATAAGAAAGACACCAGTTCCAGCCAGCGGGTGCCCCGGTGCCGTTGTAAGTAGTCATGAATGCTTCATGTGCGGTCCGTAGTCCATAGGTCTCGCTGGCACCAACTGGGAGCCATATGACATTGAGGATGAAGTCTAAGAACACGGCGCCGGTGGAAAGCCAGAAAACAAATCTGAATACTCGAGCTTGGGGTTGTTAGTTGATTTGGGTTGGGGGGGGGGGGCATCAGGTCAACATACGGGGAGCGAAATTTATCCAGGCTGCCAAGCCTAAGAGCACTTCAGTGCAGATCCATTGAACGGCACGGAATTTTATATTGTTGGTATCTGTGGGAAAGTCGACATTGAAAACGGACAACTCCTTCATGTCTGTTTAGCAGAGTCATGGATGCAGAGAAACTTGACCTACCGAGAGCATATAGTTTACTGCAGACTGAGTATTACCTGTCAGGTGTTAGCATCGGGACATATCGAAGAAGCCATACGAACTAGCACAGAATGTCGTCCACGCGGTTGTACTCCACCAGGCGACGATGAATCCAAACAGTCCTCCATATCGGCGGCCCCCGGCCTCTGCAGCCCAGAGGTAGATTGAACCTGCAGTCGGAGCAGCGGAACAGACTTCGGCAATGACTGCTGCAGTGATGAATGTGAACACACAAGTGACGATGTAGCTTGTCCTATGCCATATTAGAGTATTATCAATGGGCTGATGGTGGCATCTTACCAATATGCTAATGGGCCCCCGGCTGCGATGCCAGTCGTGAAGGTGACTCGAACACCACCAACAAAGTACAGTGCCGCTATAGTATTTTTAGTAATGGTATTTCGGCATGTAATACGAGAGGTGCATACCGAACGAAGTAGAGAAATTCTCAAACAGGGAATAGCTTCGATGAAGGACCTGAAAAAGCACAATCAATTGATGACCTTAGCAATTTTGATGCCATTGCTGCATAGGTACCTGTTGGTAGCGAAGGCGCTCCTATCATTTGTCAGTTTTATTGCTTGCATTGGAGCATGAAACTTACCAAAGCAATCTCAATCGCTCTTATCCGCTTCGGTTACCGTAACGGTCTGGTTATTCTTGGTAGCCATGACTCACTCCCGGGGACAGCTATCAAGCTGGCATACCGATGCCCGATGACAAGACAAAGAAAGTCTCCTGGGAAGCTTACAGTTTATCAAGGCTTGGGAATCCCACTAACGAGAAATTGGCTGCGTGTCTGTCCCCCTATAATGCGAGGTTCATAATCGCCCCAGCATTGACAGTGCCCTGTCTCCACAACCCCACTATCACTCCACCGTATGACAACATTCTTCTATGCAGGCTGACGAATTGTGTTCTAATGGTGGGACGGACCCTCGTCTTGTCTGCTTGACAGATTATCGAGAGTATGCCAAGTAGTATATGTTGTTTCTGTCCGTATGCAACGTCTGCAAAGCTCAAAACTAATCCGTGCCCTTCTCGACTATGATGACAAGCCCTCGTATCCCAATGTGACAGATTTGACATTCTCGGTATAAATGATGTGATCACTGCCAAGACTTACCGTGAAGAATCCAGGTGGTCCGTGTGTGCTACGCGAGATTCATCCAATCACATCCCAGCGCCACTTCCATAACGCACCCCTATTGGCTGCAGCGCTAAGACCCTGGATCCACTGACACCCTTCTCTTCCAGGATGCAAAGCACGGATCGTAGCCGATATGCAAACAATTTCGCATTATGGCCTCAGATGATGTGATTTGCATCGTGAACATCAGTGGCTGGTCAAGCGGATGGAAGCTTCCCCACAGAGAACCAGGATGTCGGGGAAGAATCGTGCCTGGTTTGCGCTCTGCAACGGTGCAGTAAGTATATGAAGGGAATGCCGGGTCGCTAGGATGCGGATGCGTGCTAGGATCTTGCTAGCAAGGTCATACAATAGGCTTCGGAATGGTGTTGTTAATATTAGTCTGGCTGGTCATTGCTGTGGTCGTTGCTCGGGTAAGTAAAATGCGGGTTCAGGAGAAAGGAATCTTCCTTACTAATTTCTTCCAGCTCATTTACACGTATTTCCTATCACCTTTGGCATCTATACCAAATGCAGGGATTCTCGCGCCAATCTCCCGTCTACATTGGGAGTTTCCCACCGAGTTTCAAGGCAAGCTGACGCTGGAGCTTCCTAAACTGCACAAAAAGCTTGGTATGAATCCACAATGGCCAAACGACGTGTATTCATACCTAACAATATCAGGACCACTTGTTCGCATCGGACCAAACCAAGTATCATTCTATTCGCTCGAGGTATACAAAACGGTACACGCACCCAACAGTCCGTTTGTAAAAGACCCTCGAGTCTATAGTCAGTTCGTGCAAGATGGCCATCCCGCGTTATTTTCTATCACGTAAGTTACTTCTAAGCTTATGGCTTAGCAAGCTATTGGCTAACATCGCGAAAGGGATCCAAAAGAGCATGCTCAACGCCGACGACACATGGGAATTCTATTCAACCGCAGCAAAGTTCCTGCGTTGACGGATATGATGGTGGAGACGATTGACAGATTCTCCGAGTATCTGGGCACTGCTAGCCAGAAGGGCTCGATCAATCTAGTGCCGACTTGTCGCGCACTGGAGTCGGATATCGTTTGAAGGATTCCACCCTCCATACTGTTTGTCTCGACTCTAAATATGTATAGCAAAATTTGCATTTGGTAATACAATCGGAGCTATCGACTCACTGAATGCGGGAAAAGAGCTTGGTATCATCCAAAAGAATGACGCCAAATCTTCGAAAATGCCGGTGGTGAGTGACATTGATCCTGGCTGTTGCGGTTTAGCTCAGATCCGAATCGTAGTATACAAACTTTCCCGTGCTCGTTGGTCTGTGGCATTCCCTTGCTGACTGGATCTTCTGAATGTCTGGTTTGGAGCTCTCCTCAATTACCAGCAGCCAACAATTCGATCGTGTAGGCCAACTGCTATGATATGCATCTTTGTGACAGGCAGCTGATAAATCACAGTGGGCAGACGAACAATTCGCAGCAACAATGGACAGCGAAAAGGCACCAAGTCTATCCTTCCTAAAAGTCATGGCAAACCATAGAATATCCGAGCAATCAGCGCTCTCCGAAGCAAAAGAGATGCTGGGTCCTGGCACCGACACAACCTCCGCTACACTAGCGCATATTCTGTATGCACTGTCACTCAACCAAGCATTCCAGAACGAGCTAGTCTCGGATCTAGAAGCTGCCGGGTGGCCTACTGACATGACTGCTCTCGAATCAACCCCGAGACTCAAAGCCTGCGTGAAGGAGGGCATTAGATGGACGGGTGCGGCTGCCGCTATGCTTCCTAGGATTGTTCCCAAGGGGGGATACGTTCTTGCGGGGAAGAATCTTCCGGGTGGGGTAAGCGGTCCAGATATATTCCATCAGAGCGAGGCTCACAAAAGTCCTCAGACAATGATATCAAGCTCTCCGATCTGGTATTTACGCGACGAGGTCGCATTCCCGGACCCAGAGCGATACAGACCCACTCGGTGGCGTCAAGATACAGATGAGTCGACTGCTCTTCGCGATGACTATTATATCCCTTTCTCAAAGGGGGCGTCTACGTGTATTGGCAATCAGTAAGGTCCCTAGAAGGCTCAGTGGATTATGATACTAACTTGATATTCAGTTTTGCATACTTGGAGCTCTTCCTGGCTGTATCGCAGGTACTCAGGAGATATCACATTCGACCGGGGGATGATTTAGCTGATCTCGATGTTGCCCACGAAGCCATTCTTCCTCCACGACGTGAATGGGTGGCAGCTGTACCTATTGGTCGGTTGACAGTGAGACTGGAGAGACGATAAAACCTATCTCAGGTGGACTCCCGGGCACCATATGCGATACTTTCAAGTATGATTCATGATACCGGTGTGTGCAACCGAAAAAGTGAAGTATGAGCAAAATACGAGCGCAATTTGAGTGGATTCACTAGTGAGGCCTAGTTAGTGAATACTGAGTGAACTCTCATCGCAAATACTACACACAGATAAATAGCCCTCCCACATCCCAGATCCCTTTCTATCCCATCTCCTCTCCAACACCCAACACTCCAAACCAAATGGCCAGCACCATGACTGAAGAAAGCTTCGACCCCAAGGTTCGCATACCCAACTCAGTAGGAATCATACTAACCCAGTCTTCACAACAGATCCACCTCACCTACACCCCACCCACAACCAAATACACCTTCGACGACCTCTCCCTCGCCCAATTCCCCACCGCAACCCCCATCGCTGCCAGCACGCCCTTCCCCTTCCTCACTCCCGCCGGAATACTCGCCTACCGAAAGGCTCTCACCTCACCCGCCATCGCCCACCACTGCGCCCACAGCCCATACAAAAACACCCTCGTTTTGCGCAATGTGGCCAAATACTCCTCCTTCATCCACGACCTATGGACACATCCAGAAACCCTGAGAATCATCGCAGATGTCGCCGGTGTCCCGCTCGTCCCTATCATGAAATATGAGATCGGACATACGAATATCCAAGCCAACGGGACTTCCGTGGAGGAGATGCTGTCAGAGTTAACGGCCGAGCCAGCGACATCTACGGTTGAAGTCACTGAGGCAGAGAAATCGCAGGATCCGGTGAGTGGGAGGTCGGTTATTCCATGGCAGTACGTATACCCTACTTCCCTTCGGGAACCAAACTAACGCATGAGTGATGTGTATAGCTACGACTCCTACCCCTACGTCCTGATCGTCATGCTCAGCCATACAACCGGGATGTACGGAGGGGAAACCTGCCTCCGGACAGGCGATGGTAGTGCACTCAAAGTACTCCCCCCCCC